ATAATACTAGGCCTACTTCGATAATAAAGGTGACAACAACAACAACAATAATAATAATAATAATATGAGAAAAATACCAAGAAAACACCAATAACAATATTTTAAAAATTACTATTATTAAAATAATAATACTAAGACTAATATATAATAATAATATGAATAAAAAAAAATTGAGAATTTTTTATTATTTATATGGTAACAATAATAATATCAGCAAAAATTTAAACAATACATAATGTTAATGCTAAGACTAATAATTAATATTAAAACTAACGGTAATAAAGACAACGATAATAATAACAATGACGCCAATAATAACACCAATAATAACTAGAAATTGCAAGTGAAGTGCTGCGAAGTACAACTGCATATAAATGTTCTTCGAACAAAAACTATTTATGTGAGTCAAGTGAAAATAATGAATAATAAAAATATAACCAATAATATCAGACACGACCCATTGTCTATATTAGAACAGCGTTGGTACCGTGTATGCCAGTCTACAACAAGCGTCACCTAAATGTAATAATTAGCACGCTGAAATAGGCTAGTAAATAAGTTTAACTGGGTTCGTAAATAATATTGGCCTCAAAATATTGTGGCATATTGTGGCTGAGACATGGGCCGATTAAACGTAGAAATAGGAAACCTAGAAATATAGTAAAAACGCTGATTAGTAATACTCCAGCGTCGCGACATGCAGACGTTGGTACGAGTAGGTTAGTTGTGGTCCAGTTGATTTGTGGCCGAGTTGATTTGTGGCCGAGTTGACTTGTGGCCGAGTTGACTGTGGCCGAGTTGACTTGTGGCCGAGTTAGATCGAATTCCGCTAGCTAGGTCTAGGCCTCTGCCTAAGAAAAGACTAGGCGTAGCTGGCTAGGCTAGGGGCGCTAATGCACTTTAGTACTCTACCCAAACCGTAATATTAAGATAGCAAGACTGGAGTTGAGGTTAGGGTGTAGTACCAGAGGCGGAAATAAAAAAAAATAAAAAAAGAAGGAAAAAGAAAAAAGTGATAGCCCAGAACGTCGCAAATGTTATTTTCTGGCATCTAGAACACAAAAACTTTGCGGTAGAATGCCCCCGGACCCCCTAGTACAGTGTTGTCTCAATCGGGTCCCCCCCCCTTTTTGGACATCTCTGGATCCACCCCTGAGTACTAACTAAAGAAAAGTGCATACTTCGAGGCTTAGGCCTATTACTAGTGCATAATAGACCTTGAAGTAGTGAATTTTTCCAGCTTACTAAAAAGGAACCTAAAACAGTGCTTAACAATGTGTATTTAAAAATTATATTAAAACTACATAATAATATTATTCCAAATATTTCTGTTTTATATAAACATCAGAATATGTATCAAAAATGGAAATAAAACAAACAAGAAAATATTAACCTTGTGTCTGCTTCACCTCAAGAGTATTGTGGGAATCTATTTGTGAGAATGTTTCTTTCCACAAATTATACTCTTTACAGTAAGTTATGCAACTCAAAAAATAAGCCTAGCCCAGCAAGTGAGTGATTTTGTCGGGCTTATGAATATAAAAGAAGGCAGAAACGGTAATTCAAGTGTATGGTATATAATTATAAATATATTGATATGTTTTATATGAAAAATATAAATATAAAAATACTATAGTATATATTTCCTTTATTTTCATTCATCATATACCATTCAGTATATTCATTTATAAATACAGTTATGTATTTTTATAAACATGATCATAACATGGTAAATTGAAACGTAACAGACAAAAAAACAACGTATCACAATCTATTGACTATACTTTTTCATAAATAAGGAGAGGGGAAAGTCATGTATTCTATTATTGGGATTCTTCAATTTTGAAAAATATTTTCTGCACTGTCAGGCGGGTACATCTGTCCTGAAGCAATGGAATATTTAGCATTTCAACTGCCTGATCAATTGTTTATAGTAAGTAATAGTAATGCTTCAATAAAAATCCAGATACCTGAAATAAATAAGTAAATATTTATTGTACATGAAAGCAATACTGTACTTTGTGCAGAAGTATAACATTCAAGGCTACATTAAAGAAGTTTATTAAAGGCTTAAAATGGACTACCACTGCGGCATGTAGTGTGGGATAATGCTCAAATGGCGCTCCATACAAATTCCGCGCTGCCGAAGTTGTCAGCGGCCTGGACCGAGGTAGTAGACAGGCACTAAGGTTTAATATTTAGATTTTTCTTTTTACAGAAAATGATGAGGAGTTTGCTGTTTACATTTTTCTTAGTCATCACTCTGCAAGGAATTGCTGGTGAAAAACAAAAAAAGTTACAAATTGGAGTTAAAAAGAAAGTTGAAAACTGCGAAAGGAGAAGTGCAAAAGGTGATGTACTACATATGCATTATACGGTGAGTGTACGGTGTAAAGACAAATAAAATTAACTATTAGTTTCATGTCTGGGATTTGAAATTATTTTTTGTTGAGGGTATTTGCTATTTACTATCCTAAGTACTAAGGCCACTGGAAATGCTTTACAATGGTTTTTGTCAACGCTTCTTAAAAAATTGGTAAGGGATTTTTGTCCTTCACCAGAATTTGGGTCAAAGACCGCGTGTCTATTTAAAATACGGATGCATGGAGGTCTGCGACGATTATACGCACTCTGTGATCGATTAAACATGTTGCGACATACATGAGTTGATTGGCCGAGCGGTTAAGTCAGGGACCGTAACCTTCAGCTCTAATATCGGAGCTGGATCGAACAGCTCATTCACCAATAGTTTCGGTGGTAGAACAAGTCTTCTTGGATAAGGACTTTAAACCGTAGGCCCAGTGTATGCATTTGGCTCGTTGCACTTTAAAAGAACCTAGTACATCCTATGAGAAGAGTAGGGGGTTACCCCAGTGTACTGGTCCATTAAGTCCCCAGTTGTAAAATGGATATGCCATGTAGGACAGTGATTAAGTTCACTTATTGGCATATCCTTGGCGCTCGTGCCTAAAGAAATGAAATGAAAGTGAGTAGGATTTTTAAGAAAATTGAACAAAATTGAACCAATAGTATCGTCAGCTGTACTTTTTGATTTCTTACCTCTGTTTTTTTTATGACACAAATATAAACGATGAATTTTTTAAAATGCAGGGCCTAAAATCGAGAGCGGGCGGTTGACGAGAACCATGTATTTCTAGCGGCCTAATGGAAATAGGCTGTTAAACAAAAATTGTTATATATAAAAGAATCAAAATGAGTCAGTCTCTGTAATGTATACTTTGATTTATATTTTCACCTCTGTAGGCTTTGACAATAACCTTTCAGATTATGATTATTTTTATTTTGAAAAATAGTAAATTTTTTTCATGAGGCTCCAAAATTTGATGTAAAACTAGTAATTCATTTTATTTGGCCTAACAACTGTAAGTATAAGAAAACGCATTGAATTTAAAAATATTAATTTCAAGTTTTAAACTAAACTACAATTACTAGTACAGTACTTCAAATTAGAAGCCTTCCATATCAGATTTTGTTAAAATGAAAATTTGCATTAAAACTAAGTAACTCATGATTTATTTGGATTGAAATGCATTTGAAACATATCCCACAGGAACAAAAAATTATAAACAGATAAATCCCATCATATAACTCATTCCTGGCTACTAATCAACATTTATGCATTTAAGGAATAGGCATAGTTTTAGCCTTATTATTTTTTTTACTATTTTATTATTATTATTATTATTATTATTATTATTATTTATTATTATTATTATTATTATTATTATTAAATGGATTATCACTGAGTGTCATCATTAGTCAATTTATTTACCTTTTTTATAATACAGTATGACTTTGTCATACATTGTTATAATATTTTGAATATTTATATTTTTATTTAGTAATTTTATTTTTGTGAAAAACCTACAGTTTTATATGTTGTCATACAGCTATTGATATCACCATCACAATTGCTTACCACCAACTATAAAGTACTCCATTATTAACACTGATAGATATTATTTTCAGTATGGGTGATATGCAAGATAACAATGTTAATAACCACAAAAAAAATTTTAGCTTGAAAAGTAGTAGATTAATCTTTAAAAACAAACTGTTGCAGTGGTACAGTTAATAGTATGTATTTCAGCTGTTGGGAGCAGTTGAGGCAGCAGTTGCATTGGTCTCTCAACCTCGAGGTCAGGGGTGCATTTTGCTGTGTTCTTGAACAAGCCACTTTACCTACGTCTGTCCCTCTCCTTCCAGGTGTATAAATGGGTACCCATTTGGTTCACTACTGAGGAGGAAAAAGGCAACATGGAAAGGAACTGGCCACCCTACCACATAATAGTGAGCTACTTACTACGATGGGCTAACAGCTCATTCCCCTACGGTCAATAAGGAACACAGGATTATCTTTACCTATATTCTGTTTATGTATTTCAGGGAACATTAGAAGATGGTACAGAATTTGATAGCAGTATTCCAAGGAAGCAACCTTTCACATTTACTTTAGGAGCTGGACAAGTGATTAAGGGTTGGGACCAAGGTCTTTTGACGTAAGTTTTTAGGTAAAGATATTCTCACATCCTAATTCAAGTTTTTTAAGCATCATTATTATATATTATAATTATGTTGTTTATAATGGAATAAAAGTTAATTTGATTGAATCTACTGTACCTATACATGTATAATTTTTTTTTTTTGGGAAGGTGGAAGGGTTAGGTTTACTTCCCCTTGCTGGCTCTCATGTCTGTTATAGTTATTGATATTGATAAAGCAAAGTATGATGTCATAAGTGTAAAAATCAGTTTTACTCTTTTTACTCTATAGAATGTGTGTTGGTGAAAAGAGAAAGTTGATAATTCCATCTCATTTAGGCTATGGTGATAGGGGTGCCCCACCAAAGATTCCAGGTAAGACATCACTTGACAGTAGGAAGTAGTCTCAACACTCCTCCAAGAATTTTTATGTATTCATTGATTGTTTACACATTAACTCTATCTCTTATTACATGGGCGTATGCTAATTTTGGCCTTGGGAGTGTGAAAAAGGACAATGCGCAACTATATCTCAGAATGTGTAATTAAATGCATATTCCGATGAAAAATTAATATTCATTTTTAGTATTTTAACCAACTTAATGGAACTAAGATGCTTCCCTCAGTCTATGCCCATTAATTCATCATATGTAGTGTATAGACTACAGTAACTAAATATCTCCCATTACAGCATCGAATTATTGTTCTTTTGTTTTCTTTCAGGCGGTGCTACACTGATCTTTGAGGTGGAACTACTGAAGATAGAAAGCAAGGATGAACTGTAGGGTGCTTTAATGCTTAGGCTCAATTTCTTAGACAAGTATATTGGACATCATTCAACATACTTCAGTTTATATGTATTCTTAGTCAAGGGACACGATTTAAAATTTTGTACTGCTATGTGTACTCAATTCTACTGCCGTATTCTTTTACATTTTATAAGTTGGGTTTTTCAAGAGGTCTCCATGACGACATATAATATAGAAAAATGGAGGTTATTTGGATGTTGAGTGAATAGAACCACTTGTTATATCTAATCAATTCTGTTCTTTTTGTCATTTTATGTTTTGTGGTTATGCTCAATTATGTTCACATTGAAGCCTTGCTGTAAGAACAAGCCATAAGCCAGGGGCTTACTGATAAATCCATGCATCCATCCATCGAGATAATAATTACAGTGTACTGTTTCAATAAAATGTGAAAGTACTAGAATGCTTTAGTCACTGATTTATAAACCAAACCGTCAAGATGATGAGGAATGTTTCAGTTTCAAGTGGATATTCCCGAAGATTATAGACTTGCAAGGGATCCGACTGCCCTGTATGCATGCAATGAAACATTAAAGGTAGAGTTTGAAACTCGAACATGCTTTCTATTGACGAATGGAGGAAATAATTATTTCCTTCATGATAGACGCGGAGTTCAATGTTCAATACTCTGATATCCCCCTGCCCTGGATTACCTAGGCACCGTATACTCACAACCAAATTTACATAATCTTTATGTTGTGTAGAATAGATGGCAATATCTAATAATTATTCAGTACAGTACTTGTGTATCAGTGGAATCATTCGTTTTATCAGCGTAAAAAAACAACTAATTTATTTGATTTTTTTTTTGTTTCCTTTATTTTAAACAATCAATTAAAACACTTTATTGGTAAATTTCATATCCATATAAAATTATGCAAGTTTCTGAAAGATCATAGTCCACCTACAAAATTTGTTCAGTAAGTTTATACAGTAAATATAAATGGCCTTAAATTCACTTTATAAAATTAATTGATCTATGATAAAATTTGGCTGCTTAAACTAATATTTGGCACTGAAATAAATGATCTTAAAAACTAATTTCATATTTACCCTTACAGCCTAAGGTGAAACTGATCACCATATAGCAACACAAGATTATATTAGCACCAAGTTTAAATTTTGTAGTATAAAATTATTTGTGCGGTTTTGTCTCATTTCCAAGGAGTCGCATTTCCAAGGAGTCGGCAAGACTTGGACAGGTCATCTGGTAAAACCAATAAAACGGTATGCGATGAAGTTGTTCAAATGAAGATATTCCTTTGTACTTTAGCGCCCTCAATCAATCTAACACTTGTCACCGACTCTGGGGTGCATTCTGGTGCAGTATTCACAGGTGATAAAAGTGGTTTGATTTTCAGCTTGTCTGGACACTCTGAAGACCTGTCAATTATTTTTTAAAATACATTAAGTAATTTGTTGCACTGTACTGTAAAGAAATATTTAAGCACCAATTAATGGATCTTTAAATAATTTATTCCTACTTTATGATCAAAATTCTGGTTTTCCCCCATTTCTGATACATGGATGTTTCTTTTAAAATGAGAAATTCAAATTTTTATTTTAATTGTTGTGGTTTTCGTGGTCTACTGGGTGGAACTTTATCTTCAAAAGTTCTTTATGAACCAAAGGTAAAGATATGTATGTGGCAAATAAGACATAGAAGTTGCATTGTAACACATTTTATTAATAAATTTTAATGGTAAACGTAAAATAATTTTTTTAATGGTTTACTTAAATTTAAAGTACTTAGTGGTGACTAGTATACACTAATCGCTAATATAAATGTTATTATTGTTTTTAATAATATTTTAAAACAATAAAAAAAATAATTCATAATGATACATCATTAAATGTCAATCATAAAGTAGCCAACTCCTTTTGCTATATCTGTCGAAAGACCATTGTTAGTACAGTAATTGATTTTTTGAATGAAATTTAAAAACAGTAATACAGTAACTCACATTTTGGCTGAGCTAGCAAAGAATTTTGTCATTTTGATTTGACGTGTGCTGTTCTCATCAAAAGCTTTCCTCTTGGTACCATTACGTCTGCGCAATCCAACATTCTTAGAGGGTCCTATATGACTGGACAGCACTTTAAATTAAAGATAATCACAAACTATTAGTGATGGATCCAGGGTGTAGCGAAAGGCCAGCACAGATACTCCCTTCCCCAACCCCCCCCCCCACCTTCCCAGGAAATGAAATTTGAATGTGAAATTTCTTAGAAGAGATTATAGTGGTTGAACCCTGGAGCTATGCACAAGATTACCACTTCTCTGCCCAAAACTGTTATTTCGCAATGGTGTTCTGTGACTGGAAATCACAGGCCCCTTCAATTAAAGATCCCTTTTCTGTGGTACCAGATTAACAAATGTTTTTTATCTTTATTATTATAATTACAGACCAAAGCTGCTATTGACCATGGAAACCCAGGCCCCTTCAATTAAAGATCCCTTTTCTGTGGTACCAGATTAACAAATGTTTTTTATCTTTATTATTATAATTACAGACCAAAGATGCTATTGACCATGGAAACCCTGGTCCCAAAATTGGTCTTTAATTGGAGGGAGACCTGTAATTTCAATGAACTACGGTATATAAAAAGATAAATGGAAAAAAAAACCTCACAATGGCATTCTAGGAGAATCATAGTCCCATATGAATAGAAAGCCTTTAATTAAAATGAAGATAATTTAAATAATACCACATCATTTTTGTTCCATGGAAGTATAGCAAAATGTAACACTAACATTTAAAAAAATACTAATTTTGGTAATTTGTTCTCACCTAAACTAGATACTGGTGTACAGGGTGCTGACTTCCTTTGCTGTAGTCCACATCTGACCTGAATTAAGCAATAAATATACTTTTTATACATTTTATGTAAGCATAATTTTATTTTGCTTAATTTACTAAATGTTTATATTTATTGATTTAGATTATTGTATTTTTATTTCATTTCATCCATAGTATAAATACCAATAACTGCGCTCTATATGAATTAAGACTTAATGAGTCTTATGAAGTGTAGTTGTTTTGGTTGTAAGAGAAAAAAAAAAACCAGAAAGAAATTCAACCAAAGACCTTAGGATTGAAGGCAAGACTCGGCACCACTCTTTGCACACATGCTTTTTTTGTTATATTACAGCAGTGGTTCCCACACTTTTGCATTCGCAGACCACTCGGGACATGTTAAAAGTCTTCATGAACCCACAAGTGTAAGTTTACTCATTCTCAATAATCCACCAACGGGATAAAATAAAGTACAACACCAAAGATTATTATTATTATTATGTTAATGATTGGCAATTCGATGTTTATCACACTGTTGTATGAGAAAAATAATCAACATTTTTTGCAAACCCCCTGCAGACCCTTCTAACTTGGCAGATCCCCAATTATTTTTCACGGACCCCAGGTTGGGAACCACTGTATTACAGCTTGCTTCTCACATACACTTTTGAAAGTAATTACCTTGTTTTGTTTCATCGTGGCACTAGTTGACCTACTCGTGACCTCTTTATTGCCATCTGTGTTGGTCTTATTTGTAAAGTATGAACTAGTGACGCAATCTACGGAATTGTTTGTGGATACGCGACCTTGCGAATTCCCATCAACATTGACAATGCTTAGATGATCAGTGTCAAATTGTGGTAGCCTGGGTTCACATGGCTCGGAATTTAAGGAGCCCATATTGGAAGGAGGAATAGAAATACTCAGGACACTTTCCTGACTCGATTCATTTCCTTCATAAGAATTTTTGAAAGAAATGCTTTGAGAGTTTGGAATTGAGAAGTCAGTACCACCGTTATCCGATAGTGGTGAGTCATTCTGCAACTGAGTTGGCTGAGTCGATTTTTGTTGTGACCGACTTGGCTGTGTTGAATTCTGCTGTGACTGGCTTAGCCGAGTTGAATTCTGTTGCGATTGACTTAGTTGAGTTAAATTCTGTTGCGACTGACTTGGCTGTGTCCAATTCTGTTGCGACTGGCTTAGCTGAGTTAAATTCTGTTGCGACTGACTTAGCTGAGTGGAATTCTGTGGCGACTGATTTGGCTGTGTTAAATTCTGTTGCGACTGACTTAGCTGAGTTGAATTCTGTTGCGACTGACTTGCATCACCATCAATACTATACAAGTCGCTGATCTGGGAGAGTTTGAAAGATGTTTGTGACAGCTCATTATCCGAATCATCATCAACAACTATTACATCTGGATGTTCTTGAACCGTACTCTTTTGGTCGATGTCATTGACATCAACGGGTGTATTCAGGTCGTTATCTGAATTCCTTCTAAAGGAACTCAAGAAGCTTTTGATGCTACTATTGGAATTTTTTCCTGATGGATGTTTACAAGAATCTAGTTTTTTCTCATTTTTGCCAATTTTCCTTTTCCAAGAAAATGCTCCTTTTGACGAAACTGGCCTCTTGCTACTTAATTCAGAATCATATTCATACAGCATGTTTTGTTTTTCTTGATTTTGTTCACATAAAGGCGTATTGGTTCTTGAACTGTCATCCACTTTGGTCTGCTTACATGATGTTCCTGGAACTTGTCTATCAGATGTCAGAGGTGATGACCTTTTGAACTTCTGTAATTTTGACTGAGCCGATTTGGGAATGTTGTTTTCAGCAATTTCATCACATTTGTCATTTTCTGAAACTTCATCTTGCGTTCCTTCTAATTCTGCCAACAGAATCGAAGTGTTTTTAGAGTCGTTTTCACTCTCATCATCTGAACTATTAGTATTTGGTTTGACTGTTGGAGCTGTGAAAAACCTGTGTGAGAAATGTTTCAAAAAAGTAATAAATATAGAAAAAAAATACTTTATTTAAAAATGCATTAATTAAAGTTGAAAAAGACCACTATATACAAGGCCAGAGAAGAAATTAATTTGGGACCAAGAATCATATTCATACAGCATGTTTTGTTTTTCTTGATTTTGTTCACATAAAGGCGTATTGGTTCTTGAACTGTCATCCACTTTGGTCTGCTTACATGATGTTCCTGGAACTTGTCTATCAGATGTCAGAGGTGATGACCTTTTGAACTTCTGTAATTTTGACTGAGCCGATTTGGGAATGTTGTTTTCAGCAATTTCATCACATTTGTCATTTTCTGAAACTTCATCTTGCGTTCCTTCTAATTCTGCCAACAGAATCGAAGTGTTTTTAGAGTCGTTTTCACTCTCATCATCTGAACTATTAGTATTTGGTTTGACTGTTGGAGCTGTGAAAAACCTGTGTGAGAAATGTTTCAAAAAAGTAATAAATATAGAAAAAAAATACTTTATTTAAAAATGCATTAATTAAAGTTGAAAAAGACCACTATATACAAGGCCAGTGAAGAAATTAATTTGGGACCAATTTCAAATATTTAGAAAAAAATGTAAAACAGAAATGCTATTGTTCTTGATGTTTCAACAAGCATTATTGGTTATCTTAAGCTATGAAGAATGAAATTACTGAAGATGACCCAATAAAGGTTGAAATGTTGAGAATTATGGCCATTCTTTTACTATTTGAAGTTGCATTTACTTTTGTTCTTAAATAAACCTTACATAGAAGATACTCTTGATGAAATTACAATTTTAATTAGCAAAATTTTAAAACCCACCTGCTTTTCTGAGTTGCACCCTCATTAATGAGATCTTTGCGTTCTTTTGAAGAGAGCCGTTTAACTGCAAAACGATTCCGTTTTACTTTGGGTTGATCTGATTGCCTGGCAGATTCTACCTTTGAATCCTTTTCTGGCGTCTCAGGAACGGATCTCTTCTTGGATTTTGATGGAGAACCATACATTGATGCAAGATCAGATTCATGTTCCAACGAGAAATTATCTATAAATAATAAAAACAAAATTAGATTATTATTTGTCCACTTTTACAAAATCTGTAATATATGCTAACCAACTATATTAAATATTTACATTGCTTCATTTTTTTTGTAAGATAATTACTTATAAATAATATAAATCATAAATACATTCTCTTTTGCTTAGATTGGTTGGTAATCAATTTAAGGATTTTTTGTAGTAAAATGTAAATTAGTTTGTTTGGTTTTATATGGTTTTATAGATGTTAATAGCTTAATTAATACTTTTAATTGAGCTATTAATCTTTTTTTAAGTTTTGAGGTTTTTAAAATTTCTTAACAGACCATATACTTTTAAGCATTTACTTACTATTTTATTTGTTTATTTATATAGCGCCTTTCTTCAGATACGACACACTATCATCGCAGGAGTAGGCAACCCCCAACAGGTACCTATTTGCAATGCAGATACAAGCGAAATGCACAGCATTAAAACCCCGACCTCGAGGTTGGGAAGCCAAACTGCTTCTTGTGTATACCAAATTTTGCTTGTGTTTACCAAATTTTCTTTTGTTTTTGTATATAATTTCTTAAATTTCATTTCTTATTTTAATTTTAAACTATTAACTGGACCTTAAGGAAGAACAATGTAAAAGTTCATTAAGTATCTAGAATAAAGAAAGATTTCTATCTATCTATCTATCTATCTGTTCCCTGCACCAAGACTTTGAATCTATACAATACTCACTCTCTCTTTCTTTAGATTTCTTCCCTTTCCTTTTGAATGCAGGTGTCCTCACAGTTGTTTGGCTGTTTTTAGTTGAAGGATGCTGTACCTTCAGAGGGTCGTCTGCTCCATATTTTGGTCCTGGTTTGTATTTGTCATGCCAGATACTCAATAGATGACAAGGTGTCTTAGGATCAACATACTAAATCAATAAATAAAAATAAAATAATGTAAACTTCAAAATAATGTTCAAAAATCAGATCATATGGCTCTTGTTACAAAACGTAGACTAGTTTTTCAAATTCTTCTATGAGAAAAAACATTATTTTAAAATATATTTTGCATTAAAGTTGGTTAATAGCTTCCACTTTACAATAGTACAGACCTTCTTTGATTCTGGCACATAGTGAGCAACTTTGCGGCCAGTATTGACGTCTACATTTCCCAACGCCATCTGCAGTGCGACATCATCGTCAATGTATCTGATTTGTTATCTAAGGAACGCTTAATATTTTATCAGAGTTTTCTTATTGCAATTCAAAAATATTTAAATACAATATACCTTAACCATTAGTATTAAATTTTCTACATTTAAAATGTTTTCAAGCATAAAAAATAGGTATCAAGTGTTCTTCAATATTTTACTTTATTACACTTTATTTATACAAAAAAATCCCTTGGCCAAAAAAACAGAAATTTCTTCATATATCTGGGGCCTACTTGAAAAACAAAAAAAAAAAAGAACATTTTTGTAAATTCTTATTTCAAACATATAATTAGCTTACTGGTGGACTAATAGTCATAGTTTGAACCGTGCATGCTCAATATCAAGGTTAAAAGTTAACAATTGAAAAAATTGGCTTACTGAAATTTTAAGTTACAAAAATAACAAAAGAAATTATTCATGAATTAATTATTGATAATTTATGATTTTGAAGGATACTTTCCGGCATATTTGATGTCTTCTGGATTGATTTCAGGTGGGTATGGATTCAAAGGAACGAGTTTGCGTTTCAAGGGATCAAATGCAAGTTGATATAGAAAAGTATTATTAGCCTGATGAAAGCCTTGGATGTAGTCTTCTCCAACAGCTAACTTCATCTTTAGATGCATTGGCATCTTCTTTAACAACTGATGAGAAAGAAATTCAAATTGAAGGCATCCTCATTAAAAACAAAACATGTATTTACTGTAGAACCAGTTTGCACAAACTAATAAATTGTTGCAACCTAAAGAACCCAGGATATCCTTCAAGAAGATATGGATATGAGGCTAACTTTAGTATCAATTCTCAGTAAATTATTAATTATTATTATTTATTAAATGGTTTAGGCTAAGGCCAAGCATATGTACAAACAGCGAACGTAATCACTTTTCTAAGTGGCATATCCCTTTACAACATACAACAGGATGCTAATAATAATGGCGTCATTTTGCACCTGCAGAGTGTAGCCTTTTTTCTGCATTTCTTTTCCTTTTTTATTTTATTTATTTATTTATTTTTATGTAAATTCATCTTATAACAAAAATGACATGGATGGGTAGACAGGCAATAATAAAGATGCAAATACTCTTCGGGGTCACCATCAATCACCACCCTGGCGTATTCCCGGACCTCTGCCTAGGTGGCTTGAACAAAGAAACCGGAAACACATTTGCCCTGCCACAGACGCCCGGGTGCTCAGGAATTGTAATCAAGATAGTGGCCCCAAAAAATAAATGCCAGCCTGTGAAAACCGGGAGAAAAAAGCAGTCGGTTATTGAATTTTGTGAAAATGTTCTACATAAACTAAGTCTCATAATAAGGCTTAGGGAGTTGAGTTGTTTTTGTTGTTAATTGTGTTACTGTGACAGGAGTTATACCCAGGACCCTAGGATAGGCATGCATCTTAACCACCAAGCTATTTGACTCCACAAATATGGTCATGAGGGACCAAGAAACATGGATATTTATTTATTGTAGAGACTACAAACCTGATGAACATCTGGATTTGATGAGAGTAGGAACAGTTTGCGAGCTTTTCCCAGCCCAATCCCAGGTAACGATGAAAGATAATCGCAGCCTGATATGATGCACATATACCGGAACTTATCCATTGTATACTTGGTTCCAATTTTCATGGCTTTATCAAGTCTTGCTGAACTTATTTCTAGTCCATTACCACTTATATCCATTTTGACCACAACCTTAAAATAAAGTTCGTAACAAAATACCTCAAATAAAATCTATAAAATAAAAATAAATTTTAATTCAAATAAAATGCTCTCTCTTGTTCATTACAGTGAACAAAAATAAAATATATGAATTTTATGTATTAAACCAAATCTCATTTTGTGTGAAGGGATTTGCAAGTGTGAAGGAATCCATAAATATGGAGTAAAAAGTAGACACAATCACAGAATTGGTAAACGGGAACAGTCACGCATAGTTTATAGCACCCTCTATGACCTCACGCACACGCTTATACATTCTGGTACCGTACCTTGTCACATCCGAAAGCAATGAGATCTGAATCCTCAGTGATAATTGCTTTTGCTATTCCAACTTTGTTAAGATAGGCAAGCTGAGAGTCCGCTTCATATGGGGCCACGATGCAATCAACTCCTACCGACCTTGCAGCCTGGAAATAATTATAAAGATACAGTGTATCAATAGTTTTCAGTACAATACATTAATGTTTAGCTATTTTAAATTATTATTAAGCAAAAAGTAACTGCTTGTTGCCCAAGCCCAATGGACTACAAAATCTGTCTGAGGTAATCTTTTTTTCTTTTTTTTTTTTTGATGAGGGAGGGGGAGTTGGGGACATTTCTTTCACTAGGAAAAGCCCAAAATTGTAGGATATTTCAAGATGACACTTTTGAAACTAAACCATAGAGTTGAGCATGGTTTTACTGGCTACGCATTGGTTGGTACTGAACACTAGCATTTGGCCTAGGCCTAGAATGAAAAAATATTGTTGACAAACAGACCAACACTTAATTACAAATGCCACTGTTCTTGGGCAACACATTACAGCTAAATATGAATCATTGAGCAATCTAATTTTGAATGTGTTGTGATGATAAGTACCTCCATGACTTCTAATGCCATTTTTGAGGTAATGTTGATGGATCGTGTAAAGCAATCCCTTGCTTCATTCACTTTTCCTTCTCTCAAAAACTGTTTCCCTTTCTTCATAAACGTTTCTCGCCTCCTGTAATAAAAAAAACAAACAAACAAAAGATTAAATATTAAGTACACTGTGAAACTAGTACATAAGATCTATGCTGGTCCCTATCCAGCAAAAGCTAATGATGTGGGACACTCAATTGATACAGAGCAAGCAAAAAAATACAATATAAAAACCAATAAAGTACTGTAGATCTTATTAAATTTTATTTTATAAAAACAAGTGACATAGCTAATATTACATATTGGCAAACAACAGGTTTTTGCCAAAGAAAATTTAATATTTTATATTATTATTACATGTGGATAGATCTTAGAATTATTTAAAAAAAGCTTATTAATAATAAATGAAACATAATATAATGTATTGTTAAAGAAGAAAATTAAAGTTTATGAATTTTAAGATTTAAGATGCCTGGAAAAAAAGAAATTCAAACATACATGAGAAATGGAATTTTTTTTTGTTTACATTACAGATCAATATCATGTGTATTAAATACAATAATTAACAAATATAACAGTTTAATAGTAATGTGACTCACTCTCTTCTGCTGTTTTCAACATGTTTCTTGGAAGGTAAATTGCAGCCGTCAAACACCAAAATTGGTTTTATATTAAATGAACGCAGCATATTGACAAATTTCATACAATAGCGTACATATCTAAAAAAGAAAAAAATGTATATTGTTGGATCTTGATTAAGTAACTCATACATTTGAATAGCATTTTGAGAAATATGTTGAGAACTGTATAAAAGTTCAGTATATATAAGTAGTTTGATGGTTGACTTACTGATCCGTCACCTCTCCTTTAGCAAGCTGCATTGCACAAGCGAAAGCACCTTTGTGCAGCCAGCAATACGTATCCACAGCGACAGTATAACCTGCATATTTCCTGATATTAATTTGCTCTGTGGCATCCTTCACAAATGGTATCAGTCCATGGATACCCATGCTGATTAAATGACTTGGATACCACTCCTATTCTAAAAGATAAGGTCATAATAAAAATAACATTTATTTTTTATTTCATACAATAAGGCCCCATAAAAAAAATTATTAGTTTATCATCCTATCAAGACCAAAAAACTGATGAGGGAGGGAGGTTTTTTTTTTTTTTTTTTTTTTTGATCCTAGATATTATAGAGAGAGCAAGCCTAATATATATATTCATCATTTTTTATATTTATTTATTCGATCAGCATTACAAAACAATGAAAATATAAAATTAAAATAGGACTATATTTTGTAAAAAAAAAAACAAAAAAAACTGGATAGAGGCCATACTGTAATTTGTAAAGTATTTTAATTGCGCAAAATCCATTGGTTATTAATATTATAATTATATATCAAGAGATAGGTCCAATTTTCGACGAAATCTGAGCGGAGATCCATCCGTGCATTTTTACTGAAATGCTGGATTTCTAGGCATAATTTTTGCCTGGATTATTCCCTGCGCAGGCCTTATTTTACACATACTACTACATAGTACAGACAGTCTCTCTGGGACAGGGGTAGCTTCAGATTCAATTTTATTTTTCCATATGGAAATAGCTTAAACAAATTACATAAACATACAATAAATATTTAAAAATAAATAATATGTATACAGGCCTAGAGACGTAGGGCGAGACCGCACTCGCTGCACTGTCACTGCCCAGCCAGCCATGGACCACCATGCAGGTAGTCATCGCACTCACCTAACCACCACCAGGGCAGCCCAGACTCCAGGCAGAAGGAGCAGGGTACTGCTGCTCTACCCTAGTCTTTAAAAAATACATAAGCTAAAACAGTATCGCATTTAACTACAGATCATACTTAAGATAAATATTCTTGACAATGGCTACTCCATTACAAGTAATTTAATATTAAAAATACCTTTGATCGAAAGTTTTAAAAACCATTCAAATCCTCATCACAACAAATCAAGTTTCGCGCGTCTTCTGGTGTTAGACAGTTAGTTTATATTGTCCAGTCGTCTAGTGTAAAAAACACCACTGTAATCACCCCCTCAACGAAACAACACAACAGGTGATTCCCAGAATGGTTCTGTCAGCTGACCAAAGTTGTTTAGGTTACTTGGTAACCTCATTTACATACGAAATTGATTGATTTTTGATTTTGGTTTTTTGTTGGGTCGGTGCGTGGTTCTCCGTATTGATATTAAAATTTGTTTGTTCATTTAATTTTTGTTGTGTTTATGTTGATTTCAAGATGACTTCTACTCAGTTTCGGTCATTGGATTTGGAACTTGACCCGCAGAAACGGAGTATTTTTGTGACACAGTTGGGGGAGCGTGGGTGAGTACTTACATTCTACTCAGTCGTGCTAGGCCTAGCTAGATAGTCTAGCTCCATGCCTTGTCATGTGTAGGCCCTAGTAGAAAATAGGCCTAGGCCTCTAGCTTTTTTAAAGCCCTATTATTATAATTGTTATTAGCTTTGCCAAAGTAAAATGACGCGGTTTAGATGATTGTGTAGGCCAGCCGAAAAAAACACTTCTGATTTAATACAAATTGCAATGTTTACAATAAAATGATAAATTAAAAGTTAAATAAATGTATTTTTAATTTAAATAAATTTTCTTGGTATGTGATGATTCTCATATCTAATTTTAAGGTTTGAAGAAGAGGAGGAAGAAAAAGAAGATATCAATAAATATCCAATTGTGAAAGAGGTAAGATTACATCAAGATCCAATAAAATGATTAGGACTATAAAATATTTTCTAATAATTTGTAACAAAAACTTGAATACATATTAAAACCAATTTTTTTTAGTTAAATACAATAAAATTTTATTGCTATTTTTATTAAAACAATTCTTATAGTAAAACATAGCATATATCCATGCTGTTTTGTAATTGATCAAAACAAGAAAATGATTATTATGAAATGCAGAATTACCAAAATTATTACAACACATTTAGGAACACTCACACTAATTTATTATTATATAATAATTAAATAAATATTATGGTTGTAATATATAACATCATAGAAATGACTAAAATCCTGAACATTGAAAATACAAACTTAACTATAGGAATCATGGTATATGTATTTGATTTATTAAATGTTGTAGTCGGCAGGTAAACTTATTGAAACGGGTTTAAACACCGTTCAGAAGACTTTATTGCTGAAGAGACAGGTTGAGGTTGAGAGGGTGTCACTGGAACTCCAAGCCAAGAGAAATGATTTCAAAAAACGAATGGAAAGTTGTGAACGAAAGCGGATAGAAATGCAAAAGAGACAACAAAAAGTAAGTTGACTGATTTCAGTCTAGCATCTCATAGTGTATCTTTTCTTATCTCAGGTTAAATCAATAGTATCCTTTTTGTATCTTAGGTGAAACTTTTTTTATAATGTCTTTTGCAAACTTTTTTTTTTTTTTAAAAGATCATCAGAAGATGGGGGAGGTAGAAAAAAATAAAATGTTTTCTTATGTAACAAATAGTTTTGACAAAACCATCCAGATGGAGGAGAAAATAACAAATTGATTGGTAAATGTAAACAGTGTAGTAATGGCCTGGGATGGTTAAATGCTTTAAATATAATTATTTTTTTTAGATTTCAAGAGAGCGGACGGGCATAATAAAAAAAAAAGAAAAACTTTTTTTTTTCTGAAATTTACATTTTGTTGTAGCGGTGGGTGTGCAATTGGCCACAAATAAAATCGTATTTTTATTCAAAATCATTGGTGGGAAGTAGGTTTGCTAAACAAGGTATATACAAGTCGTACCTTATGTCCTCTATCATTTTAGATATAAAATTGAAAGATAAGTGTATGTAATCAACAAAAAAAAACCTCAAAAAATAAAAATAAAATTTTATTTGCTCATTTAACAGAACCACATAAGTTACCAACATTTAGTATTCCACAGATAGATAGAAAAATCTTTTAATGATTTGTAGAGGTTTTACAATGTGTGTTATTATCAATATCCATTATATTTTTAACTCTTGTGTATTTAATTTCCAGATGAAAGACAGGGTGCAAAAATTTGAGAAGTTTATTCAAGATAATGAAGCAAAAAGGAGAAGAGCTATCCATAAATATCAAACAGAACTGCGACTGAAAGAACAAAAAACACAAGAATTTGAGATGTTGAAGGAGCAACTAGAAGATCTGAAAGACAGGTGGATAAAAATGTTTTAATTCCATGCATACATTTTTTTTTTGTAAGCTTTATATAGCTTTCATATCCATTTCAAGAAATACTGCTCAAGGTTCTTTTCCTCTTATCATTTGGTACAGAATCGATCATGCACAATGCGAAACACACTACTTACCGTAGGGAGTATACCAAGCACTGGTGTATCTAGTAGTTTGAAATGGGGGAGTGGACAGCTGCTGGGGGAGCGCGAGGTGATTTTTAAGTATTTGAGCATCATTTTTTTGCTTTGAACATTTTCAGTGAGAGGGAGGAAATGGCGGTGAGCATTATTTGGGGAGAAGTCCTCCCTCCACATGCACCCCTAGATACGCATGTAATTCAGCCCTTTCAAGATCATTATCTCCTACCTACTAGGTACCCAGTTATTCTTTGGGTGAAGGAAGGTAAATGTAGATGAAGTACTTTCTTAACACATTATGTTGTATTTTGCTGCTTCTGCTACCGCTGCTGCAATTGTTGACAATGATGTGATACCCAGTAATACTGTAGTAAAAATATGCAAAAATCCTAATTTTTTTGGAGTTGGTCTAGTTTCTGGTACATTCCTGCTTAATAGGACTGCAGAAAACTGTGCCAATTTTAGACATATTTATAGAATTGGTCTGCCTGCATACAGTTTCTCAATCCATTGAGCTAACATCAGTGATCTAAAAAATTAGCCTTAGTAGCTTGGTCATGTTTTTTTCTACATTTTTTTAAATTATTATTTATGACAAAGAGTTACAATGTATATGAATCTGACTTATTTTTAGGCATAAACTACTATGTGAAAAACTTGAGAGGTACAAGAAATTCGAAGAGTATTTGACAAGAGTTTTGGATAATCTACCAGAAAGTAAGTTATCAGCATGATTATGTTTTAATTTAATTTTTGACATTACAAAAAATAATGCTTTAACTTGTTAAGCTTTAAGGTTGTTATATTCATGAGGATTTTCTTCAATTTAGATTATCTTGAGGTGAACAATGAATCGATGTTAACAAGTATTATGGATCGCCATAAAACTTTGACAGCTACTAATGCAAATTTGATTGATAAAGTTGCGAGTTTGTATGATGGCGTCGAGCAAGAAAACCAAACATTTGAAGAGATGAAATACAATCAAAACCAGAACGTTTTAGTAAGTTTTTTTTCAACAAAACAAAAATGAGAACATATATATTATTCACTTTCTCACAATACAGTGTCCCTATTAAGAGGACACTTTTAGGTTATATCCCTTCAATAGGAGCTCTACTGTGCTAATTAATACATGTTGTGATAGTACTTTTTTGTTTACATTTGCCCTCATTTTAATATTTACATTAGGTCATCAACCGTCAATTAGCAGAGCTGCAATCAGTCCAAGAACAAAGGTTGGATGAGACGACACAACTTGAACAAATAGCACTCAACAGACACGACAGCTTCCGACAACAGGTAGAGCTTTCAATTGTTTTGTTTTTTATAATTTGAAATATTTTAATGTAGTTTTAAGTGTAGAGACATAAAATCCTATCATGGCACAATGCACAGTGGTGTATCTAGGTGGGGGAAATAACCCCCCATCTCCCCCTCAATTACAAATATTAATTCTCTGAGTGTAAAAGAACAAATAGTACCTTTTAGTTTGTCTTTTTTAAATAAATTTCAGATTTTAAAAAATTTAATTACAGTATTATTAATAATTTATCATATTTTGCATTTGTTCACTTGTTTTTTTGTATTATCTTTTCTTCTACAATACTTTATTTTAATTTTTATTAGCTTCCGTATAATTGGTATATGTTTTACTTATTTGTTCAGTGAACACTGATTTATTAGGCAGAATTCACAAATGCTGTCCTTAGTCAATGCGTGAGTAACAAAATAAATCTGAACTGTACTGCATTTTACTAAATTTTTTAAATTAATAAATGTGGGTCGGTTATGGAAAAAACATAGGCCATTACTGTTTTATTCTAATTGTGCTTTTTTATACAGTGCTACTAGCAATTAACAGGGTAATCCTAGGGTATAATATTTGATATACAGTAATAGCTTTGTAATGGAGGAAGGGGCTTGCTTGTCAAAAAGGGTATAGGAAGCATTATTTTTTAATAGTACAGGTCTCCCTCTCCCTAATTAAAGACCCCACCAATTAAAGACTACCTGCAATTAATGACCACTTTTCTGTGGTCTCATATTAAGATATGTCTTTTATTTTTATTATTCTAATTCGAGACCAAATCAGCTAAAGACCATGGAAATCCCAGTCCAAAAAGTAGTCTTTAATTGGAGGGAGACAATTATTACAGTAATAGCTAGATGGTGTAAGTAATTGGATATGGATTGTCTAGAGATGTATTACATTTTATATATAATAATACTAAAACGAAATTGTATATTTAACCATGGAAACAATTGCTCATCTCATCAGTAATGCTTGTCATCAAAGCTGTGAAGACACAGAATCGGAATGAAATCGACCTGAAGCCTGGTTTTCTTAAAATCGCTACACTGTCGCTACAGCGTTTTCAGTGCAAGCGTTGTACTGCATACCGGTCCCCGACACAATCCGGAAGGCCCCCCCAATCCAATCACCATCACCGAAAGCTGTAGGGTGTAGCGATTGTATGGAAACCAAGCTTAAATCAAGTTCAAGCTCAGATCTATTCTAATTCAGTTTTGGTTAAACAAAATTTACATATTAAGGAACAAGATGCTTTTAGGTGGAGGGAAGCTGTGGGTGTCTTAGAAATTGGACATGGTTACCCTTTTTTTGTAGTATTATGGTAATGGATAAATGATTGAGTATTTATTACAAAACTTTTGAAAATTTAAATTATGTTGGTGGAGGATGAACGTACTTGTAAAGCGATTTTACTTGGGTTTACATAGCATATGTGTGTACCATTATATAGTGGCATAATTTCCTACTTTTTGTCAAACAATTATGGTATAAATTTGCAATTATTATTTGGTAGATTACAAACTAACTTGGAACACAATAGTTTAGCAACAAATGGCTATGGTAACTTAGTTTATATCTACAAACTAGGCTTTGATATACTGTAAATTGATGGCTTTTACTAACCTAAATTTTTTTTGATTATCAACAGAATGACTTATTAAGTAGAATGAAGATGATTATCACTAACTTAACTTTGTTTTTTTTTTTTAAATTATCAACAGAGTGAGTTATTGGGCAGAATTAAGATGGCGATCACAAACTTAGCAGAGAAGTGCTGGACATCACATAACCCACCAATCGAAAGCGCAGATTACTATCAGAAGCTCACTCAAATCATGGTACTGAAAATTAAGTACAATTTCCATAACTTTTATAAATTAAAGCCAGTCTCCAGAGGAAAACAAAAATTGATATGTTGTACAATTGATTTATCTAAGACACAAAAGTGGTGTTTGATGAAAAAGTGAGGAATGGTTAATTAGATGCGGATTTTTCCAGTTTTTAAATATTTAAAAATCTGTATCTCATTAACAATTCCCGAGTTTTTGGTCAAACAACCTTTTTGTGTTTTAGAAAAAATTGTACAACATATAAAATATTGTTTTACCTCCGGAATTTGGCTTTAAATACAATGGTACCTCAGGTTAAAATATACTTGTATCCTACACGAGTATTCTTTCAATTATTTCCGGAAAATTCATGAGTAATTCTGTATGCTTTATTTGAAGAATAAATTTCTTAGAACTTCCATCAATTTTTCTCTGTTTTACCCTGAGAATGAAAGTTATGGTGGGGAGGGAGGTACTTTTATGTAATGCAGGTAATGGTAATGTATGTTGATTTTACAGGAATATTCCATAGAGAGGATAGGAGTAGAAAAGATGGCCAGAGCAGCTTGGCAGGGCAGTCATGCCAGTGTTAAAGATGAGGACAGAAATAGTGGGAGGAGCAGAACAAGACAGAATAGCTTTTTAAACAAATGATCATCACTTCCCCATGTTGAAATCATTCCCACCGATTTACGATGAATGTATGAATTTTATACTTCTAAAGTATGTGTGAAATTTATATATATTTTATTTACCGTATTCTTTCTAATAAACACCCCGGGGTGTTGCATTTTTTCAAAGGGGGTGTTTATTAGAGGTGAATTGTAAAATCATTAACTACCTTAAACAAGCTGAGCCTTTAAGCAGTCAGTCAGTTTTTTCTTTAAGGAACAAGTCTGTATTTTCTGTGGGTGTTTATAACTGCAAATTTTGAATGCGATTTTGGGGTGCGAAATTCGGGGGGGCAGCCTATACACCCGACTGGTCATCAACCTACTCCTAAAATATTCCAGATCGCGAGCCACTTAGCATCAACCTTTAGGCCCAAGCTATCCAAGGTGATGTGTTGCATTACAAGTATTCAATTGTTTCTAATCGGCTGATAAGTTAAAATTTTGTTATCTTAATGATCCATTCTAAACGTGAGAAACCTCTGTTTACCTCTGTTTAAACTGGTTAGGGTACTCATGAAAGTTTAAAAGCAAATGAAAACAAGGGGGGCATTTATTAGAGGGGGAGCGTTTATTAGAGACAACACGGTATTCCAGTGACAGATCAGAAACTTGATGACAGTAAGTCAATTTTGCAGTGTGATCCTTAGAAATAGTATTGTTTATAATGCTATATATCTTGCTACCCTAAAACCAATGATCAACCCTATAGTATTGTGATTAATAACATAGCAATTTTGCAGTGTGATACTTTAATTATACGTCTTTTTCATGCTGCGGTAGACATGTTCGATCAATGACAAACAATGCTGAGCAGCGAAGCGTAACCAACAGAAAAAACATAGCGTGTCTGCCATATTTTCGTAGGTCATCTTAAACAATCCTTAACAGAGAATCGTATCAACATTAGTTTTTCTTTAAAATGTTTGCAAAGGATATATCTACGTACTGAATGAATAAACAAAAATTGAAATTTGTTTATTCTGTCAATAAAAATAGAATATAGAAGACTAAAAATAGAAGACTGTATTTGTATAGCGTGTGTATAACCATTATTTCACTGTTCGACCTATCTTGTGACTACCAGGGGCGGATCCAGAAATGTCCAAAAGGTGGGGGGGGGGGGCGGAGGGGGGCCGAAAGTTGGGCCGATTGAGACAACACTGTCTTACGGAGTCCGGTGGCATGCCCCCGCGAAATTTTTGTGTTCTAGATGCCCGAACATAACCTTTGAGATTCTTGGCCATCATTTTTTTCTTTTTCTCTTTTTTTCTTTTTTTTTTTCCTTTTTTTTTCTTTTTTTACCTCCTAAAAGGGGCCGGGGCCGGGCCGGCCCCCCTAAATCCGCCCCTGACTACCCTGTGTAATGGCATGACAGTCTCTATTTACCACATAACATGATTTGTTAAAAATTATCGTTGTTATCAAAATTGCATTGTTTGTTATCGATCAAACATATGTACTACGGAGAGAAAGAGGCATATTCAATCAATCAATCAATCAAAATTAACATTTATTTCCTTCAAAACGTAAATTACAATATTCATTGAAATGTAACAAATAAATAACATAAGTATTGAAGGGGGCACAATTCCGAAAAGCAGAGCTTGTGATGGATGTGCCCAAGACAATTAACAACACATTAACGAGAAAAAAGACAAACATTTAAAAGGATAATAATAATAATGAAAATAGAGCATTTCAAAATATAAATGAAAAATTATTATGAAAAACATACATAATAGGAATTATAAGGGAAAAAAACTAAAGCTACTGTTAAATAATAAAATAGTTAAAAAGTCAACATATGGAAAATTATTTAATCAATATTATTATTGATTAAATAATTTTTCACTTTAGAAATGAAGATTTTTTTGGATGGTGCATCAGAAATGTTTAGAGGGAGCGAATTCCATATTTTAGGTCCAGTATATCTAATATTATGTTGAAATGAAGTTTTTTGTGTTTGGGAATGTGGAGTTTATTTGAGATTCTGGTACTATAGTCATGTAATTCGTTATTGGGTGCAAATATAGAACGTAAATGAGATGGAAGAATGGAGTTTAAGCTTTTATATACAAAAGAACACTGTTGAAGTGTATTAAGATCTTTAAGATTTAATAGTTTTAAAGAATGAAATAAGGGATCAGTACTAGTTCTTAGTGGGACGCCAGAGATTATTCGTATGATTTTGTTTTGGAGTGTTTGAAGTTTATTTAGATTAGATGGAAATGTGTTACACCATACAATATTGCAGTATGACAAGTATGGAAGAACAAGGGAACAATAGAGAGTACGGAGGATATTATTGGGAAGAAATGATGCCAATCTATATATTATACCAATATTTTTGGCAATTTTGTTTTCAATTTCGAATATGTGGGGTTTCCATGATAGACGACTATCAATGGATACTCCAAGGAATTTAGAGTGATCAATCAAAGGAAAAACATAATCATTGAGTTTGATCTGCAGCTGACCTAGTTCAATTGGCTTTTGGGAACTCCTAAACAATACATAGTTGCACTTCTTTAAATTTATAGTGAGGTAATTTGCCAGAAACCATTCGGATAATTCTCCCAAGCTTGCATTCACTATACGAAATAATGATTCTAAATTTTTATTTCTACAAAATATAGTCGTATCATCAAAAGAAGGATAATAATGCTGAAGAATTATAAATATCATTTATATATAAGAGAAACAAAAGGGGGCCCAAGAGAAAGCCCTGAGGGACACCGCAACTAATAGGCAAGTAATCAGATTGTGAGCCACCATACGTTGTGCATTGGTAGCGGTTAGTCAAATAACTCCTACAAAAGATCGTGAGGAACTCCACGGATACCATAGTGATACAGTTTGGAGAGTAGGATTGAATGGTTAATAGTATCGAACGCTTTTGATAAATCAATAAATAAACCTATTGCAAACATATTGTTTTCAAAAGCATCAACGATTTCGTTGGACAAGTCAATTAATGCCATAGGTGTGTCAAAGTTTTTACGAAACCCAAATTGCTTATCAAAAAGAATATCGTTTTTTTAAATAAAAGCATACGTTCTATTGTAAATAATACGTTCTAATATTTTGGAGAATGCAGTAAGAACAGATATTGGTCGGTAATTGAACAATGAATCCTTCTTACCCATTTTGAAAATAGGGGAGACTCTCGCTAATTTCAATTGATCTGGGAAAACCCCATTTTTTAAAGATAAATTAAATATATGGCAAAGAGGTTTAACTAAAAAATAAATTGATTGTTTTATAACTGGCTAAATTCGTCAAGTCCCTGTGCTTTATTAGTTTTAAAGCCATTAACAATGTCTATAATTTCAGTGTCCGATACTGGAAGCATAAACAATGAATTCAGGGTAGGTTGAGGTAAATATTTATTAAATTTGGGTCGGTTTGTCGGCATTTTATTAGAAAGGGTTGGGCCTATTTCAACAAAAAACTTATTAAACGCATTTGCGATTTCAGTTGAATCTTTCATAGGTTCACCGTTATCATCTATTATTACATCAGTGT